TTTCTGACGCTGAGTCTACAGAGGAGATGAATGTCGAGCTTACGACTTCAACTGACCTCCCTGTAAAATTAGATCAGGAGCGAGAGCTTCTCAACTCTCCAACTCCTGATCCAGTGACTGAATTCAAAAAAATAATAAGATGGTGCAGCCAGGAAACGACAGAGTCGTCTCTTCAAGAGCGGGGTACCTTATGAAACTGCCTTGCACCAAATTCTTGAGCGGCGTGCGCAGAATCAGTCTCAGGTAGTGGAACAAACCCCCTGTGAGCAGGTTAGCAAATGAGAAGGTTGTCGCGGGTATCAAAGTTCCGTACTCTTATCATCTGACCTGAAAGACAGCTCACCATACCAACTAATCGGCTTCGTTAACAAGCTGGGTTGATTTGGTCGAGTGTGAATAGGTGTGAGCCACAATAAACCCTTGCGGGTTGCGGCGGAGGGTCGAATTGACCCACTCACTTTGAACCTAACCTAACCTAACCTAATCATACAAATCAGGGACTAACATATATTAAAATCATCCTATCTTTAGTGATAGTTCGCTCTGCTATTTCAAATATCTCTCCACGATAATATTATTGAAAAGAGTGATGGTTAGTTATAATGCTATGGCGGCTCCTGGGAGGGGATATGGGGGCTGCAGACACTTCTCCGAGACATCACCTCACACATATGTTTCAAAGGAATAATATCATTTACTCACTGAAAATAATGTATAAGCTGTCTATATTTTCATTTCTCTCTATTCATTTATCAATTTTTATTGTGTCCTCTTGAAAGTAGTCCCTCTCAGATATAATACGATTGTGCCAAAGTCGAAAGGGACCAAATCTGGTGAATATGGTGTTGTGTCTATGTGGCAAGAACTCTCGATGCACTACATCAAGGTAATCGAAAAAAATGAGCAAAAATTTACGAAAAAATTGCATGGCATAAGACAAGCGAAATACGAACATCCTCGGCAACTCCTTTAATAGTGGTTCGAAGATTTCTATGAACATATGTCCGAAGTGACTTTGTTCACTTGAAATTACTTATTCGTTACTTCTTTTCAATATAACCACTGAAATGCTATCGAGTCTAATAATTTCAAACTATTTAGGGCTCCATCAAATGTGATGATTATAATATTTTATAAATACTGTTTTTTTAATTTCAACGCCCTATATCTCAGAAAGAAGCAACTTCAGGCATATGTTCATAGAAACTTTTTTTCTTTAAATGGCCTTAAGAGCCACGTTCTGAACGTTCATATCATAGTTAGGTAACACTTTGTATACAAACCGTTTTTTCGGATCATTTCACTATTGTTATCTTGAAAATATTCATTTTTCCCTATCCTATATTCAATATGAATTTCTACAAAATAAATAGGTCATCAATAGAACAAGCAAAATTTCATTTTGTTTAATTGAGGGCCTACATGATTCAGATTACAAATTAGGCGAAGAATTCTTTTCGGAGCTATAAAAACGATCCGCTCCTGTACAATCTTCCCACAAGGTGGCGTTGTATGAGAGTGTAGATTGAACCATATAATTCTAGATGATAATCCTACTATGATAAGGATAAGATTGCAAATTTTCCAAGTATAAAATCCTCAACCATCCAATTTACTTTTTCTTTTTTCCTCAGGAGTGCTTCAGCAACATAAATGGGAAAATGCGATGACAATTGATAAGGTTTCGTGGGGCTTCAGAAGGAATGCTGTGCTGTCAGACTATTTTACCATTCTGGAACTACTTTCTGAACTAGTTTCCACCGTCAGCTGTGGAGGTAGAGTTTGAAAAGTTAACTAAGTATGTTAAAAAAGTAATGTAGGTCCTTATAATCACAAAATTACAATTTGAGAAAATGAATAACAAAATTGTGATATAATAAAATGAAATAGAAAGAATATACTAGAAAATTGAAAATTCTTCATGAAATACTGAGATGCACTGTCAAAAATATATTCTAGGGAATCAAAATTGATATCACACAAATTTGAAATTGAGTTGAAATTATTGCAAATGCTGAAGATAGGTGATTAGTTCTGGCCAGTCAGCTGTAAAAACTTTTTGAACTTCTAGTTGTAAAATGAGGCACACAGAAATGTACGAGGTAACACCTCCATAGCACCCAAATTGCTGTGCAGTAATTCAAGACTTTCAATATTGAATGTTACGGTAAGAAATTCATATGAAATAACTCTATCAGGATAGATACCATGAGATTTGAAGTAAATCAACTTCAGGAAACGACGTTGAACTTTTTCAGTTGATGTATTATAGCAATTGTAGATTGGAGACCATAGAACAGAGCCATATTTTGATTTTGACCTTACGTAGGCTACATAAAGAGTCAATTGCGAACTTTAAAGCCATAAACTCTCAATACTTCACTTACTTTCGGTCTAATGTGATTGGACAAAGACAAATTTTGAGCAAAATATACACCAACATCTTCAATTATTGAGCTACTTCGTGACAGTGGAATGGTAACTAATTAATATATGAGATGAATAGTATTGGCCCTAAAATGGAGCCCTGGGGTACTCCAATGCCATTCCTTAGAGAAAATGAGAGAGATATATCATCAAATTTGAAATTTGAATATCTTTCCTAGGGATTTATGATAGCCAAACACCTGAAAAAATTTGATATCATTCAAAAACGAATATTGAAAATGAACCTGATGATTCTGTGACCTATTCAATTGACGTGTTTGAGAAATCGCGAATACTGAATCCCCGTCAAATGTACGTATATAACCTAATCTTCTACCCATTATTGAAAGCATCCAAAAGTATAGTGTCACGTCCCAACCTCAACATTTTTTACGAAGTTCATTTATTCTATGGTCGTTCTCAAGAGCGACAGTAGACTTTTCTGATCTCTGAAATCGAATATTGGCTGCGTGTTATCGGAAATGGGTTTTGATAACAATGAGCAACTCTAAAGACATAGTGCGATTAAACTCTCACAAAGGGCAAAGATCTTTTCTTTACCTCACCTGCAGAATATTTCCTGCATTATTCTACATGTACAAATCTCATTATATAATATAGAGTCAGATATAAAAACTTGCAGACCACGGCTTATAAACCTGAAAACATCGGGCAACCTCAATATCAGTTTCCACTAATTCATTTTGCTATGTCTTGCTCGATTCTCTCACCAAGTCATGAATAAATAGCTATATTATCTCTTAGGCAATCTCCTCATGAACATTGGTCCGACAAAGGAGGGAACCATAGCGCCTATATTCCAAGAGCGTCTTCTACAAATGGGTCAATGGCTATCAGTTAACGGAGAGTCTATCTATGGAACCACACCTCATAAAATTCAAAATGACACCACTTCTGATGGTGTGTGGTACACCAGAAAGGACGGCGCAGTGTACGCCATAGCTTTATTCTGGCCGAAAGATAATACTTTGGTTCTAGGTGGCATTATGGATATTTTCAAAATCGTTGAACCTGAAATAACTTTGTTGGGAAATGAAGAAGACGGGCCGTTGAAGGTAAGTAGAGTTGTCTCTTCAGTTCTAGAAAATGAATTAAGTAGGGGAACAAAGGGGATCCGAGCACACTTCAAAGTCGCGCGTCGTTGGTATAGAGAGAGACTTCAGTGAGTGGGAGAGAGACAAGTGTAACGTAATCGATGAAAAGAAGGATGGAATGAGTATCGGTGAGATTTAAAGATAAGAGCGTGGACTTGGGACTTCGCTTCACCGCTCAGGCCTTCTTAGGGCTTCACCGTTGTCGCGCAACAGTCACGTGATCCTAGTGGTCATTCGGCAGCTGAGGGATATTGAATTGAAAGGAATAATTTGTGTGATAATTGAACCCAGGTCGTTGGCGTGGCAGACATCGTCCTTGTCCATGACATCAACGTGAGATGTTAGAAATGAATGTGAAGTATTGGATGTTTGTCTTTTATATTTTTGTACATTTCGAAATAAACATTATTATTATTGATAGTGATGGCCGATGGTTTGTCAACTGTCATCGGCAATTCAGAGTGATGAATGAAAAATCAGATTAAATAAAAAAACATGGCGGAAATGTAACGGGTAATCCGTGGTGCGTCAAGGTGCGTCAAAATACATAATTTAAGGGAAAAACATGACGTCAATATGTACAACAGTCAAGGCTTCATTAATGTAATCATTTATTGGAAGACTTTCGTCTATTAGCTGTTAACTACGTAAACAATGTGTTGTTGGTAATAGGACCTCCATCACTGTTTATTGTCTTTTTGCCACACTTTATGCTATTTCAAGACTCTCGAAATTTGATTTGACTTGATTTATTCCATATTTTGTTTGGTGAAATATCTACTATAACAAAATACATCGTAAACACAAAGGAAACATGGAACATACCTAAGCAATGAATGCTTATATCGTAATGTTCCATTCTTCCATTTGGTTATCTTATTTTACTATTTTTATACAGTGCGAGTTTCGAAAAATAATAATGATAATATTGAGTAGATGAATTTGAAATTTATCATAAGAATTATTTTATATTAGTTAGGTTGATTAGGATCAAAAAAGCATCAAAAAGTCTAGTGTCATGTCCTGTTCTCAAGAGTTTTAGACAGTAATAATTTTTTCTGTAATTTTTCTTTAAGGTGTGTTGGTGTGTGACAGTAGACTTATTATTAGAAATTAGTTTCCATAGCTCACCTAATCTGACCGATATATTTTGTGTCACAGTTCATATATCCCCATCTTTTCATTTTCCAACATTTTATATTGAGGGTCACCTAACATTTGTTGAAGTCTAATATTACGTTCAATGTTTTTGAAATGTGATCTGATCCGTAAAAATGTTTTAGTTCATATGAAGGAACAATGAACTTTGATTCAGTGTCTCTTAGAAACGTTGTATTATATGAATTGAACAACATATAAAATGATAACGCACTCTAAGCTACCATAGTCGCAATCATTACAAAGAAAAGCTCAATTAAAATTCCTGAAAATATCTTCCAAAACAATATTAGCCTTCGAGAAATGTCCTGAAAATATTAATGATAGAGTTTATGACTAGTTGGAGGTAATTTTGTTCATTCGGAATACTCTGACGGTTCACCCCGTCTGAAATGACATGCTCGGTAATGACGAGGGGCAAGTACCCCAAAACCGGAAAGCTGAAGTGAAACCATCTGGCACCTCAGGTGCCAGATGGCATTAGCTAGGTTAGTTGTTGTTTTTCCGCCGGGTATCCGCCACACGTACCTACAAAGTCGTCGGTTTACATGAGAGGCGAGGGGTAAGGTGTTTTTTACCTGAACTTGGGCTTATAATCATTCCTCAGAATTTCTGGATAAGAGAAATTCTGAGTTTTGCCTACGTTATCGTTTTTATCTAATGCAATAACCGTTCAACCTTTGCAATTCTCTTTTCTGTATTAGACTGAATTTGATCAATAGGTTCTAATTCCTACATATTTGCAGCGACATGCTCATTAGAATTAGAAGTACCTCTCAAAATCAATATACGGCTTGATGTTATAACTGAGGCCTTTTTCTAATAATCGAGTTCCATTCAGCAAAAAAAAATACAAGTGTAATAGAAACGAAGAGAAACGAATGTACTCGATTTACTGGTTTACTGGAATGAAAAAACTAGATGAACTTTGCAACAAATAATACAAATTTCTGTATTTTTTTTCCGATAACAGACCAATTTTGGATATATGGAATATACATCTATGTTTCATGTTGAATAATGTTCCATTCGAATCGGTATAGCAAAAGATTCGAACATTAGAAAAATGTATAAAATTGTGAACTCAGCAACTGTTTTATTTGTCAATTCTAAAAATTTCTATTTTTATTCTATTTTTCATTCATTTCACTCAACCAGAATCAAATTTTGAATTAATCCAGTAATAAAAATATTCCATATGTTGTGGATTTTCTGTGTGACCCTGTATGTCTCTATATTTTTTTATATTTCAAATTATTTATTTTTTCAGTGGACTCTGGACCGAAACCATGTGATGATTAGATTTCCGGATAAATCCATTGTGAAAAGCGAATGGGCCTATGTTTTAAAAATAACACCAGTATCTGCTAATGACATTTTTTGAAGTATTTGTTAGAAGCTACCCGGACATTTGATGAAATCATCAATGAGGATTTACTGGTTAGCAAATCTCATCTTGCACTTCACTGGCTTGGGTTGATTTTATCATTATTATATAAATCTCAAACCGACAAAATTTTCTTTTTCCAACATAACCAATAAATTTGGTCATTTAACATCACCAAAATATTTCATTAGTTTGAAAGACCTCATCAAGTCAATAAAAAGAAAAAATGTCACGCAAAATCTATGATGCTTCTCTTTTCCGTTTTCTGGCAGTTTTTACGTCATAACATTCATATATAACAAGTCTGACTATTAACATTTCTACAGATATATTGTCCTCACCAGCAAACATCACGAAGGATATACATTATGGCCATCTAAATATGCATACAGTTGGAATGCAAAAGATATTGGACCAGGAAGAGATCTTGTTGGTAAGAAAGATTGACAAATGCTAAGCCTATGAAATTTTCAGCAAAAATTATTCAAGAAATAAATAATTCTTACAATTTTTGTATTCAGTAGTGATACTTGACTCAATAGTGACTGTTTTCATTATTAAACAAAATTCAGAAATACCTAGGTTGACGTAGGAAAATACTCAGTTGTGACTGTTTTCAAATTTTCAATATATTGTTTGGGATGAGTTTCTCTCAGCTGGGTAACCCCCTTCCGTGAAAACTGAAATTTTCAACTGTATAACGAATAGTTTCTGCTCCGTTATATATATATA